ATCTGTATGAAAATATTTTACGGTCAAACTAGATGAAGAATTACTAGGTGATGAAGAAGAAGAGAGAGATTTGAAAATGAGATTATACAAGTAATTTTCCAAAAATATTGATAGATATGGTTGAACATCCCTCATAATACCAAGATTCTCAACTCCCTCTAGAGCACAACTTTAGAATATCCTAACAGTTATTTTATTGACCTATCGGCATGAGGAAACTGATAAAAGTCGTTGCAAGAAACATCACATTTTGTCTGCTCTATAGTCTAAAGTTAGTTTTTTTTTTTTTTTTGTTAAAAAAACTATTATACTTTTTATTGTGAAATCAATTATCGGATTGAGATGTTGAAATTATATGGAACAATAATAAAGTATTTGATCAAGAAAAAAAATAATAAAGATAAGAAATATGGCAGATGAATTAAAAGATTTTATTGACTCAAAAATAATGGAGAAGAGAGAACATTACAATAGATCCTATAATTCTAGTAATCTATTTTCTCACATTTATGAAATTGTATAGAAAAATCTAGTATTTATAAAGAACATTTAGGGGACATCTAAACCCTCTTAGTAGAGTTATTGATGAAATAGAATGCCAAACAATCGAATTCAAAATGAAATAGGAGAGAAAAAGCGAAAAACCCGAACTGGCAAGGTGGGTGTCGCAGCTCCGAGTGTTCTGCCAGAGAATTTTTTTTCCCAAATTGTTTTTTCCATCCCAAACTCTATTTCAAATCTAATACCAAATTTTTAACTCTCAATGGGCTTCCAAAATATAGCTTCAACTTGACATATGACCCCAAAATCATTCCAAACTTGAATTCTTCTTGACATACACTTCAATTAAAATTCTTCAATTAATTCAACAAAGAATTCGAGTCACACCCAAATTCTAACAATCTTCACCTTTACACGAATTCCACCAAGGAATGAACTCACTTCTTTAACAATAACCAAAAAATTAATTTCTCCAACAAAACACAATATTCCACTTCTTTCAATGAATACAAGCACTACTTTTATAGAATTATCTCAGATTCCCAAAAATTATAATGATTTTATAATTTACCAAATTTGATTGTAACACACCCAACACACCCCAAAGTAGAATCAAACCTAAATGTTTTTAAAAAACGCCCCTTGCTAGATTGTACTCCTTCTACTCCACTTAAAACATGCTCAACAAAATCAGAATCCACATGCCTTTTTCCATTGGGTCTGTCCCTAACAATTGAATACAATGGCACCGCGAGTGATGGTGGCAAAGCGGCATTATCCATATCTCCTGAACTCCACTGAGTAGTATTCTTCAAATCCAACCTTTTAAGAACTCTTAAAGGTATTGTATTAAACTGAATGTCTACCACAATACTGAACCTGTACTGATTAACTCTTCTAAATTCTACACGACCCTGCAAGATGTATAATTGAGTCATTTTCTGTCCCTCCAATACAACCTGGGCACCCTTACAAACTTTCAAACCTCCACCTACACCTCCACCAAAGAACTCATAACATCTTGAATCAAGGATATACAATTAGATAAAATTATTCTTCAAATTCGGAACATGTCGAACATGGCCAAGTGTTCTAATTGTTCCTTCTAAAAGTTTTAATTTGATCGTACCAATTCCAACAGCTCGACAAGGTGTCATTGTTAACAAGGTGCGTTGTTTCCCATAACAACGATACCTTTGGAAATAGTTTCGTTTGTAGTAAACAATACCTTTGGAAATAGTTTCGTTTGTAGTAAACAAGTCCTTATTAGGACATATATGAAACACACACGCTGAATCAAGAATCCAAGATCTCTATCACTTACAACGTTCTCTGCGAGATCTGCTTCGCCTGAAGTATCTGAATATCTCTTGTACCAATCATTTCTTTATTTTGCAATTTGTAACAATCCTTCTTCACGTGCCCCCCTTCTTCTTGCATTAGTTACAAAACTGATTACTAAATTTCGACTTCGATCTGCCCCTTCTAGAAGCACCATGAGCAACCAGACCTTCTATATCTTTGACCTTAGAAATCAGATACTTCATCTTCTCTTTTGAGTACAAAGTATCATACACTTCCTCTATGGTGAGAATATCACGACTATACAAGATCGTGTCTTTAAATGAAGAAGACGAAGTGGGGAACAAACACAATAGGATCAAGGCCAAATCTTCTTCATCATACTCTACTTTCAAAGTTTCCAAATCAGTGATGATCTCTTTAAATACTGCTAGTTGATCTTTCAATGATCCTCATTTTGCCATTCGATGAGAGTATAAACGATGTTTGAGGTTCAACTTACTTGTCAGATTTTTAGTCATGCACAATTGCTTCAACTTCAACCATCGAGCAGCTGCTGAAACCTCTTTCAAAACGTCCTGAAGAATAGTATTCGATAGATAAAGATGAATTTGAGAAACTGCCTTCTTATCCTTCCGTAATTTCTCCTCCGCGATCAAAGTTGCGGGCATCTTGTCAATTCCTAGTAATGCATCATCCAAATCTTACTATACGAGTACTGCACGCATCTTAACCTACCATAGCGAAAAGCTCTTATACCTCTTATTG